CCCAGCGCTGTCCTACCAGCACAGGCTGTGCCAGACAGACACCCCCTGCGTCCTTCCCCTGTGCTACTGCCACCCCTGTGTGTGTCTGGGCAACAGAGAGCTCAGATTTTAACTTAGGTCTGCGTGGAGTTTTACCCCTACCCCAGGCACACACCACCCGCCGAGGCCGATGTGCCAGTCCTGCCCTACCGAATCATCCAGCCCTGCCTCTGCCACTCGCTCCTGCCAGACGGAGCCGGGAGCTCAGCAACTCATGCCCCGTGGGACTCCGTTCAAATGCACTCCTTGGCACGGACACAACCTGAATGAGCTCTCTCTCCAGCAGCTCGGCTTTTCCCACTCCCACCTAAGCACAGCCATGCTTGCCAGCAGCTCGAGCCTGCTAGGAACAGAAAGGAAAGGCTGATGTTTCACCTGAACGTGGCCCAAAGCCCTCCTTCACCGAAGCAACTTTCTGGCTCTTCCTTGCCAGGGCAATGCAGCACTGCAGAGGCAGCGTGGTGCCTTGCAGATGCTTTATTGCTCGTGCACCCTTGTGTCTGTTGAGGTGGGGTTTTATTGGGGAACGAGGGTGGATAAAGATTACGCTTTACTCTTATGTTCCTTTTCTTATCGTCCTCCCCTCTTCTTTTATTTACAAATCACTCCCTTTTTTCATTACAGGACGTGAAGGCAGCATCACCCCTCCCCCAAATCACCCAGGACTTCCTTCAAAAAAAAGGTGTAAGTGCGTACTTTGCTCCTTCTGTGGAGGAGTGCAAAGGGGAGGAGGGGAAGAGAGGGTAATGCGGAAAAGGTTTCAAGATTGCTGAGCTCCAGCTCTCTCAGGAATTTAAGCACAGGAACAATTCAGCTGCTGCAAGTTGTAAATTCAAATAACTCCGGATCTCCTTTAACCTATACCAGGAGCTGACCAGCATTAGAGTGACCAATAATAGGGAGAGGATGAAAAATCATTTTTGACCACCTGTGTGGAACAGACTTTGGCCCAAATTACTGCCCAGCAGTGGTAGGCATCAAAGATGTTCAGACCAACACTGACCTGAGCTGAAGCATCACACAGCGCAACACAGCTCTGGGCTGTGGGACTGTTGCCCTCCTACTTCTGGCTCTGAGTCAAACCACGGCAAACCCGAGAGTTCTGCCCTGCACTCTGGTGTACAAAGGATGCAGGGCCCTGTCTGTGCTGGCTGCAGCTCCAGCAGAGAATTGGGGTGAGGACTGTGGCTCTCTGATATGAACGCAGCAGTTGGGTGGCAGCCTATAGCCCCTTATCGACCCATCCAAGAAATCTGCCCTGCCTTAGTTTTCGTCCTTCTCCTATCAAGGGCTCAGCCTGTCTCCCTTTCCTCCTCTCACAGCTCCTCAGCCTCTTGCCTCTTTTTAGGTCCAATCTCTTGTTTTCGACGCCTTCTTCCCCAACCTCTCCCATGCCAATGCTGCTCACGAGTCAGGGATGGTCTATATTCAGAGCACACCTTCTTCCATCAACACTAGCCTCCATCTGTGACCAGCACTTCAAGTCTTGCTCACCCCAAGGTTAGTTGGTAACTCTGAAGAGGTATACTAGGAGTAAGGGAAGAGGTCAAGGTACAGCACTACCATCCCCAGAGCCTTCTTTTCTGCAACATACAGCACCATATTTATTGGAAACCCCCCAGGCCAGGGTGAGTATGTGAGAATCCTCTTTAGGAAGAAGCCGGTCCAGAGTGAGCTACCAACTGAAATGCTATGATGAGTCAGTGGTGTGGGCTAAATGCAGGCCTGATTTGCACACCATCACCAGACATAGTTCTGAGATGCAACTAGCACGCCTGTGTTAAGGCCCATTAAAATTAAGCAATACACTAGAGGAGAAATAAATTTAAATAATCCAACGGCCGTTCATCCTGCTTTGATGATAGCTGTATGTAAAGCACATGTACAGAAACAGAGAGACAGCAGCGAGCAAGAGCTTACACAGGGCAGTGTGATTGTGTAACGCCGTTCGGCCCTGCTGAGTACCCACTTATTCAGGGGGAGATTGCACAGATAGGCGTGAAATGGAGATTTTCTGGTTCCACCAGCCAGCAGTGCAAACCTGCAGAAAGCTACACACGCTGCAGTACTCTGTAGTCTGTACCAGCCTGGCGAGTCAGCTGGGCACACGGTGTTTGATGCATCGCCGGCATCGTGGAGCTGCTTAGGGAATTGTTGCATTGTGGAGAATCAGTGGGAGCAGGGATCACCGTGTGTTGGCACAGGTTGTATCACCACTCTGGCAGGCTGGAAACACACGTCTGGGATGAAGCTTGCCTGATCATTTAGTTAATGAACACACTGGGGCAATGAGGCACCGAGAAGAAACCATCTCCTCCCTCTTCTCTATAGGAAGTGGGGAGGAGAGGACAAGTAATGCTCTGACATTCACCGTTAAGCCAACAGTGAATCGGGAAAAGAAAACTCCCTACACTGGACTTGGGGGTGGGAGGAAAGCAGTTCACTCGCAGACAACAGAGCCCAACTTGACTGCCAGCTGAGCCAGGCACATCAGAGCCAGCAGGGAAAGGTCCCATGGCATGCAGGTGAGCTAATCTTGCTGCAGCTCCTTGTGCGTCGTGTGGTCTGCGAGCAATGTACCTGCATTCATAATAGTGTGTAAAGACGGCGTGTGTATGTGCATCACTCAGCACCTATGCTGGAAGAGTGCTGGGAGGAGGAAAGAAAACAGTCGTGTATCACCCAGTTGTGAGCTGGAAGCAGGAGAGACAGGAGGAACAAGAAAAGCCCCTGCAGGTAATGGAGATTACCATTGCTCATGCAGTGGTCGGTAGTGGGAAGGGACAGCAGTGCTGGCAGAAGAAGGGCTGATTTGCGAAAGCTTGCAGGGGAACAAAAGGTTTGCTGGGAAATGAAGTGTGAAATAGTGCAACCTGACTGCTAGGCAGCAGTAGGGAAGGAAGAAGGCGGCAGGGGACGAAGAAGACACGTGAGGAACAAGAGATTGTGGGATTACTGTTGGAGAACCATTGACCAGACTGTTTTCACCGAGTCCAAAACTGCTTCAGGACAAAAGTATTACAGATAGTAAAATCTACCAATAAACCAATTAAAAGTTTACATGCTGGCCTGGGATTCTCAAATTTATATAGAGAGCTGTAAAACCTCCAGTCTTGAGTTAGCCACAGATCAATGTGACCCTAATTCCTATATCAAGGCTGTTCCCACTGTGCCTGCAGTGTGAGAACAGATCTCAGCTAAAAGGAGGAAGAATATCAGAAGACTTTCTTGGACAGATTTTTGATATATGATATAACACGGCATACCCCAAAAAGACAAAGTATCTTGTCATGGGGAGGACGTTCTCCATTTCTCCTCTGTGGGGAAATCAAGGCAAAGCTAAGTGTCTGGTAAAAGATTTGCCAGAAGCTGGGAAATTGAAGAACCGCTGAGATTTTGTGGTTCAAAACCCAGCCAGGAGAAGGGAAGTTGAGTACTCCCAACCTTGGCACACATACCAGAGAGGGGGAAGGGCCTTGCTGGTGTCATCGAGCCACACAGCCAAAACACAGAGCAAGCGCAGAGGAAAATCTTTCCCTCAGTTTGCGATCTCTAGGTGGATGGCTGGGCTGCACCAGACACATCCCCGCAACACACAGGACAGAGAAAAGCAGCTTAGTCTCAAGAGAAAGCAGAAAGATTCCCACTGACCCCAGGGACCACTGGGGACAGTGGGAAAAAAGAAACACAGCACTTAAGCTGCATTGCCAAATATTCTGGAAGGACAAGAGCAAAAGCCAGCCCCCTGCATCCACTGGAAATTATTAACAAAGTCCGAAAGAATATGTCAATTTTCTCTAATAACTAAATTTTCCTGGAGAGACAGAGCCTGGCACAGCACTCCTGTTTGTCTGTACATGGGGGCCTGGCCACATATTGACAAAATCAGTCTCACCTCCCAGCCACACCCAGGGTGTTAAACTTTAATGACCCACCAGGTGACAGCCCCCTAGCTTGGCTCATGGTGGGAGAAGCTAGAAATCCTGTACTGAAAAGACATCACAAGCCAGATCCTGCTATAAAACCCCATACTAGACAACACTGTACAAATTGTTACATCAAAGTGTCTTAAAAAGCAGCACCCCTGTTGCTCAGATTTGGAGGCCCCTCCACAGAGAGTTTAGCACCACTCACTGTTCCCAGCCAGTCACCCCAGCCAGTGCTTATCCTTTTGTTTTCATATCAACACCATACTTCAGCTTAAAAAGTTGGGTTTTTTTTAAATGCCCTCTGTTACAGACTGCAGTCAGATGTCCTGCATTACATGTTGACTGGTTCTTCCCTTTCCCCTGTAGGAAACAGTTTCTAGAAAATTACCCCACTTGGGATAAAGGAAGGTGTTGCTACCAGCAGACAGTGATTACCTGGGCGGGGAAATACATAAGGCATGAGAGTAGAAAACCTTTCCCTAGCAGGAAGAAGAAAATTAATTAAACTATCAATTAGATCCAGAACCAAAAGTCTTAACAATTTGCAGGGATTGCTGTAATCTGCAAAGGAAGTCCTTTTGGGAAGTCAAAACCCAAAGAACTAAATGGAATCTGGCAAATACGAAAGTTTATTATTTTATCCAGATCTGTGTCTTGCACTGCCTACTAAGGGGTCACTCCTTTCAGACCCTTGTGCACTCTGTGCAATACTTAGCTGTAATACCAGCCCCAAGTCCCTGAAGAGCTACATTGTTAGCCTGGATCTAAGTAGGCAAATGAATGTTTTCAGTCACTGGAAATAGACGGAAAGAAGGGTCAGGCTGTATGTATGGACAGGGAGGACAGAGGAAGAAATCATCTGGACAGTGAAACTCTAGCTCCACAGGAGGTGAGCAGAAATGGAGCTTGTGTCTATGTAAGCCAAGCCAGGAAGAAGCCAGGGCTGCAGCCAACAGAGGCCAAAAGAAATGCAAAGAATAAACACTCTTCAATGGGAAAGGATCCAGCCCTCGTATTCAGTGCCTAGGAGGGGATCCTGCAAAACTGTGACCATAAGCATCCATAGCATTCCTTAGAAAGGGCAACCCCATCATCCTCAGATGTCCATAGGTATCTGTTGCTGCAAGCCCAGGAGCAGAACCTGTCTCATTAACTTTCTAAATTGCCAGTTAGCCAGAAGAGGTGCAGGCTTGCTTTTTTCTTTTTTAAGACGAGAAAATCCTAGCAAGAATAAATTCTTGGACATTGTCAGGGATATCTAGGGGGATTTCAATTGACAAATATAAGACAATGGTCTTGGGGAAAAATATGTGCCATTGTGGGCTAGTCCTCTGTAGATCTCAGTTCCCCTAATTTTTTTTTAAAGTTACATGGCAAGTCTCATGGAAAGAACGGAAACACCCATGCAGTTCAATTTTCATCGTGTGAGCTGACATCCGGTGTTTGAAGAACAGAGCTGCGACTGACTAACGTGGTGTTTTAGGCCAAAAAGCAAACAGACAAGGACTGAAAGGAGGAAGATGGTGAAAAGTCCCAAGAGAGAGGCATGCCATTGCCTTTCCTGGGCTTGTTGAGCATAAGAGATGCAGTTCTACTCATGGAGAGAAGGAAACATCTCATTCAAATCACCAAGACAAAGTGATCCCATAAAAAGAGAGTTCCTGAAAAGCAATTACCCAAGCAACACTCACGTAAGTTCCACTCAGCGGGAAGACCTTGAAACACGTTTATTTACCCTTTTTTAATCCCAGAATCTTTTCCTTTTTCCAAGGGGAATTTTGGACCATGGGGGTACAAAACTGGCTAAGTACACATTGCAGTTAGAGTCCAAGTGCAAGAAGAAATCCAAAGTCTCTAACCTAAATGCCAATCAGGAAGTTGTCTTTCCCTGAAGTTTTGCACTCAAAATGGCCATAAAGTGCACGGATTGCTTCTAGGACAGAGGCAGAGAGCAGTATCATGAGGCACAGTTATACGTATGACCATCCTGTGAGTGAACATGGTGGAACGTCCTAAGTCATGAGCTTGGCTTGACTCAACTACTTCCCCATGCTGCCACCCACACTCTCTCCCTTCCATCTGGTACTGTAAAAAGGTCACAGAATCACAGAACGGCTGAGGTTGGAAGTGACCTTGGGAGGACATCTGGTTCACCCCACCTGCTCAAGCAGGGTCACCTAGAGCTGGCTGCCCAGGTCATCTTTATGCTCCTAAGGAGCAGCAGTAGCGTAAGGAGAAAGTGCCAAAGCACCACGTGCCCGTACTTACTACCCAACACCTTCACCTCAAGACACTTAACCAGGAATGCTAAACCCATCTTTTCCAAATCCTGTTTCAAGGCAAATTATCTGCACAGCTGGGAGACGAAGCAGCTTATTACACCGTCTTCCCCTTTCCCTCAGAAATAATATTTTCAGGCTGTGCCCGCATGTACCATTCCACCCAGGCCCCATCGTACACAGCAACATCTGGTTTGCCACAGAGGTATGCCCCCAGAGCCACGTGGCAGGCAGTGACCCCAGAGCCACACGTGGCTACCACCGGCTTTAAGAGGTCCACCTTCTTCTCCTGGAACAGACTGTGGATCTGCTCAGGGGTCTTCTCTAAGCCAGATTCTGTGAGGAAATCGGTGAAGGGGATGTTCATCGACCCAGGGACATGACCAGGCTCAATTCCTGGAGGAAAAGCAATACAAATAGGAGTTAACCTCTACTGTCTGGGACAAGTCTATTGCAAAACCCATCCTCTGTTTCACTGGGATGAATATTTATTGTTTAGTGTATTTTGTTAAAACAAATACATTTATTTTGTTAAACTTTGCTTTATTAGACTACTGATTACTCAGGAAGGATGGCTCTAACCTTCAGATTACCACATGGACACAATCCTGTCAAGTTCTGTTCTTCCTCCCAGTTCCCTCCACATCTTCCCCACATCAGAGCAACCCACTCTAATGAGGCACTGACTGAAGCACCTCCACAAGCCCTTCCAGTACATGAAGAGACCAATGAATATCTTTGAGGTGTATGAAAGCTACATTCCTCACTCCAGTCCTTCATGAGAAAAAAAAAAAAAAAATGCACAGCTTTCCCACTCCTGAATTTTCAAAAAGCAGCACTTGCTAGTCAAAGGAGAGGGCAGGTGAATGCACTGCCTCAAGTCCCATCCCATAAAGGGCAATATTTCCCTTCATTATCTCTACAAGAGCCAAACTGATGGGCACCTTCAATGCAGCCCCTTTTTATTATGCCAATGTCTCAGGAGGCACATTACCATCTCGGGGCTCTGGCTCTACTCCCCGGAACCGTCCTGCAGCGCGCGCATCCACCAGTTGGAAGCGGTGGGAATCCAAGTTATCCAAGACATCCTCGTACGTTTTCACCAGGGACTTGTCCAAGGAGGCGTGGAACTCAGAAGGAGCTACCTGGCTTTTCCCAGAGCTCAGCGCATTCCCCTCTCGTTGCCAGTTCTTCAGGCCACCATCCAGAAGGGAGACGGCTTCATGTCCAAAGGCCCGGAACATCCACCACACCCGGGGCGCTGAGAAGAGACCTTGGTCGCTGCCATCATACACCACAACATGGGAATCATTCCCCACACCCAGCTTCCCCACATACTCAGCAAAGTCATCAGCCTTGGGCAGCATGTGATCATACGGTGAAGTACGGTCGCTGCACTGGTCAATGTCGAAAAAAACTGCACCAGGGATATGGCGCTCCTCAAATTCCCGCTTCGGGTCACGCTTCATCTTTGGCAAATACCAGGATGCATCCACGATTCTCAAGGCCAGACCAGCTTGCTGGGACTTGATGGTTTCTGAAAGCCATTTTGCGGACACCAGAGCACGGTAGAGGAGTTGCTGTGACATTGCTCCTGAGTCCTGGCCAAGATTACCTGGTTCCTGGGGCCTGCCTGAATCTACCTGACTGCAGAAGGAAGAAAGTTGTAAATTAGAGACCAGCCTTACAAAAAGCGACTGGATAAAGACGCATTTTGGGACCAAAGACCTGTGTCTGCACTGAGGTGCTGGCTAAGCCTACAGCGAGGGGTTTGAAATGCGCCTGCTCTGAAAATAAAGTTTCACAGAGCTCAGCCCAAATCCTGCCCTGCGCTCAGCACCCCCTAGCCCACCTGGCCCCTCCACCTCCAGGAGCCACCAGCCAGCGCTGGCAGCGGCAAGAGGGGAGCGGGGCAGCCCCAGGGACCCTGAGCGAAGGGGACTTGAGCGCCCCGGGGTGACGCATGGCCCCACGACGAGGGGGCTCTGCCCCACCGCCCTCACCGTCCCGGGGCCCATCTCCAGCCCGAGGCCTTACCGGGACCCTGGCGCCCCCCTCGCAGTCTAGAC